GAGAAGGTACTCAAGAGGTTCAATATGACAGATGCAAAAGTGGTTAGTACTCCTCTAGCTAAACACTTCAAATTAAGTATTAGTCAGAGTCCATCTACTGATGGAAAAAAATGATATGTCTTGTATTCCTTACTCTTCTACCGTTGGTAGCTTGATGTGTGTTATGGTTTGCACTAGAACAGATATTGCACATGCCCTTGGTACTGTTAGTAGATTTCTTTCTAATCCTGGAAAAGAACATTGGGATGCAGTAAAATGGATATTAAGGTATTTGAAAGGTACTGCAGATTTGAAGTTGTGCTTTGGAAATGGCAAGCCTGAACTTGTTTGTTACACATACTCTGATTTAGGAGGCAATCTTGATAATTCAAGATCTACTTCTGGTTATTTGATCACTTTTGTAGGGGGAGCTGTTTCTTGGCAATCTAGACTACAGAAGTGCATAGCTCTATCTACCACAGAAGCTGAATATATTGCTATCACAGAAGGTTCCAAAGAACTATTATGGATGAAGGAGTTTATTAATGATCTTGGCTTTGAGCAGCCAAGGTACATCTTATTTTGTGATAATCAAAGTACTATCTGTCTCACCAAGCACTCTACTTTTCATTCTAAGACCAAACATATAAGTAGAAAGTACCATTGGATAAGAATGGCCGTGGAAGAGAAATTATTTGAGGTTGAGAAGATACACACTGATGAAAATCCTTCGGATATACTGACAAAGGTGGTAGTTGCAGATAAACATGAATTTTGCAGAAAATTGGCAGGCATGAAGCCTGTCAATAGTTTCTCTACTTGAAGACATATTTGGCCCCTTGGCTGGAGGGGGAGTTTGTTGAGCACATGCTCACGTTGTCCAGCTAAAGGCCCAATGGTCTCCTATTCTCTTTTGGTTTCCATTCCTATTCGGAATTGGATTAGATTTTTGTTTCTATTTAGAGTTGGTTTTGCCTTTAAGGGAAGCACCACTCATGATCTATAAATAGGACAACCTGAAGAATTATTCTATGCTCATGATACAAGTTTTTGAAAGACTTAAGCATATCAGAGTGGTTTTTGAGAGAGCTTTCATCAAGAGAGAAGAGAGAAGAAAAGTATTTGTTTTGCTGCAGATTTTTATTTCGACTACCTAATTTCAAATCACGTTTTTCGATTTGTTAACAATCGGATCGGGCTGAAATTTTGATTGAGTATTCTTAACATCTTGACGTTTGATTTGAACGGTGAAGATCGAATTTAGAGGCTCATAACATCTGATTTTGAGCCTCGAACATCAGCTTCATTTTTGTGGATTTTCCTCTTTCTTTAATTGATTTGTTGTTGCTATTGTTGCTCCGTGTTTGACACTTATTATGTAGCCAATTTGGAGAACTTTTGTAACCCTCTTATTGTTATAGTGGAGCCTTTTGGATCTTTGTGATCCCGTAGTTTTTACCTTCGATTTGAAGGATTTTTCACGTTAAAATTTGGTGTTCTTTACTTTCTTTATTTTTGGGTTTGTCTCTTTCTCGACATAACACTACTTATAGTATATTCCTTAACACTTTTAAAATTCTATAAACCTGTTATTTGTAAAGAATGGGCCCCAAATTTAGGGGCTAAGGCATAAGCCTTACTAGCTGTATAATATTAGAGCCGGCCATGAGTACAATCTAGAGGTGTAAAATTTGATTATCATTAGAATCTTTCCTTAGGTAGAGGAAGGAAAGATTTTTTTTTTATTAGCAAAAAAGAATCATTCCTTCCTCTACCTAAGGCCTATCCACTCTTCGACCTCGGAAATAAAGAGAAACTGGTTAAATAAGAAGGAAAAAACTTAACTACGAAAATAGACTTATGGTCTAAAAAAGATACTTACTACTACATATAAAGAAGTAATCGAATGAACCTTGCTGCCAATAGATAAATATCTTGAGTCAAATCCTCCTGTCGGGAATAAGTGGTCTCTCCGTATTATTTTATACTATACATTTTTTTTTTGTCTGAATCAAGAATTTTAATACGTTAATTTGAATTATCTATTATATTAGTAATAGTGAAAGAAAATTTTAAAATAATCAATGAATGACTCACATCGAATTTAAAATTTAATAGTTCAATAAATTAAAGTTCTTGAGAATTACAAAAATCGTATAGATAATATTAGTAACCAATGTATCAAATATTTCTAGAAATCTCAAAATGAAAAAATATACTATATAAATAAAGAAAGTGGACACACTAACAAAGTAGAGAACATGTCTAACATCAGGTGAAAAGAGTGGAGGAAATGATAGAAACCATCTATCTATATATATATTAAAGCAAAAAAGTTACTATATATAATTGCATTGTGGTTTGCAATGTGGTTAAGTCAAGTGGCAAGCTAATAAATACAAATAGTATATGGTATATATATATAAAAACTGAATTTGAATTAAAGAATAATTTTGAATTTATAAATAAAGTTTTTAAATTAATATAAAAAAAGAAATTTATCTTTTTTTGGTCAAGTTATCATACTTAATTCGGTTAATGATCATATGCAATCATACTAGGAACTTTTGTTATCTTTTCCGATTATTTAAATGCTACTGCGCCTGTGGAAAAAAATTATTCCATATAACTGGTATGACATGAAATATATATATATTTTTTAAATGTAAATAAATTATTTCAAAATGGGATTATTTTTTAAAATATAATGCAACTTAAAAAATAAAAGGATAAGATATTTTTGAATTTTAGTAGAGTTTTTAAATTATTATAATAGAAGTCATAGCATGGACAAAATCAAGAAATCGAAATCTTATGGAATATTTACATAAATATCTGACCAGATTTATTGTTTATTTTTTATAACTAATATCCATAGATGATACACTGGCAACACACGATTATACACATATTATATATGGATTATGTATAAATTACACATTCTTTAATTTTTTTAATTTAAGTGGTAAGGCAAGCACTTATTTAGGTTGATTAGATAAATCCAAAAGAAAAATATATAAGAATTTCAACTAAAGACTAAAAATATAAATAAAGTTATTATGTAGACAATTTTTATTTAAACTCATCCTTTTATAGAGAAATAAATTAATTTTTTGTAAATAAAAATACATAAAAAATAAGATAAAAGGAAATAAATAAAGAAAAAATGTATGAAAAATCTAATAACTAGAAATAAGAAATGATAACGAATTTCTTCTTCTGTTTCATCTATGTTAAGTATAAAAAATTTGGAAGTTGATATCATTGACTTTAAAACTTTTTTTCAACTCAAATACATAGATTATATGACAAGAATATTTTAGAATATTTTTTTTTAATTTCATTGTGTGTCGTTTTTAAAAAATCACTATTACTAACAAACTGATATGATATTTGAATTTGAATATAAATGCAATTTGAGTAGTTTGCATTGAGGTTAAGCCAAGTATGGTGTCGAGAAAAACTGCTTGACAATTTCAAGATAATATATGCAATGTTATATAATAACAGTCAACTAATTTAACATTTAATGATTCAAAGAACAATTACAGAGGCATATGTAGAGTGTTGACACCAGGTTCAATTGAACCCATAACTTTTCATGCTGAGCAAAACTTTATATGTAAAAAATTCTTAAAATTATAAAAATAGTAGATATGAACCCATAACTCTAAAAATATAATGAGTTCAATGCTAAAATCTTAAAATTGAATCCATAAAGTATAAATCCTAGATCCACTTCTGTATATAGGATATTCCAAATTCAAAATCTGTGGCTAGAGATATTGATAAACTCAAAATAACGTCATATTGAAATAAAATTTCACCGACTAAAGAATCATTTAAATTCTTAGATAGCCGGCTAAAGTAAATTTTAAATTAAGGATAACATCTTCACTTGCATCATTATAAAGATAATAATAATAATAATAATAATAATAATAATAATAATAATAATAATAATAATAATAATAATAATATAGTTTTAGAAACTATGTCAAAATAGAAATATTTTTTGAAAGATAACAACATACCAAATAAGAGTTCAAGTCATAGTAAAAGAGTCATGTTGTAACCAAAGAATCATTCATATTGTGTCAACACTGCTTTGACATAAATACAAGTTATTATTTTATTTTTTGACTTTTTTAGGTTCCAATGACACCAATGAGAATGTTAGGTGCAAAAATATGACTATTTTTAGGTGCAAAAATAAAATTATCACTATGAGATTTGAGAAAATGTTAGTCGTTTTTCATATAATGTTTTGTAATTAATATCTAACGATTATCTAGAAGGTTTAAATTTTAAGGTTATTTACATATCATTCAAATAACTCGGATATTTAATATGGTTAATGTCAAATATCAAAATGGAGTCATATTGGAAAAAAATTTACTGGCTAAATAATTTTTTAAATTTTTAGATAGCCGACTATAATGAGTTTTGAATTAAGGATAATATTTTCACTTACATTATTATAAAATAAATTATTATTTGAAAATAATATTTTAGAAATTGAAATTTTAAAATAGAAATAATTTTTAAAGATATCAACACACAAAATAAGAGTTCAAGTAGTAGTAAAAGAGTCAAGTCGTATCCAAAGAGTCTTTCGTAGTCTCAACCTTTGATTGTTTTGTCATAAATATAAGTTATTATTTTGCTTCCCGACTACTTTTAGGATCCAATGACACCGGCGAGAATGATATCAAAAAAGAAAAATAGAATTATATTTAGGAAATTTGAGAAATAGTTAATCTTTTTCATGCAGTGTTTCTTCATTAATACTCAATGATTATCTATATTTAATAGAGAAAGTTTAAGTTTTAAAATTATTTACATATAATTCAAATAACTCAAATATATTATATGATTAGTGTTCGCACATTGGCGCCGGTGATAATACTAATTTGCTATTAATCCAGCTCATATTTTAGTTTGAGCGGACTAACCTCTCTATTCCACTTTAAGCGGTTACTTCAGCGTTTCCTATTCAACATTTAATACAATTCTCACATTTTATTTTTCCCCTTAAAACTTCTCTTATTGAACCCATAAAAATCCATCTAAACCACAAGGAAAAAAAGGGGAAAAAGATTTTTTTTAATCAATTCCCCCCTTTCTTGAATCTACTGACATATTAGACGTAATATCAAGAATTCAACAATGGAGTGGCGTCCGTTTGATGTCACTGTGATCTCCGCCCAAGGCATAAAAAATGTCAATTACTTCTCCACAATGGATGTTTACGTTGAAGTTTCAATCGTAGGTTATGCCAAGAACACGAAGAGAACGTTTATTGACAAAAGAGGTGGCACAAGTCCTAAATGGAATCACCCCATGAAATTCACATTAGACGAGCCTTCTCTCACAAAACCTGGCCTTTCCCTCTATTTTCGCCTCAGATCCGATCGTCTTTTTGGCGATAAGGATATTGGCATTGTCTCTATTCCTATAAATGAAATCTTCGGCCAATCTGCCTCTGGCCCTGATGGCAGTGCTGAGAGAATTGTGGAGTATCAAGTTTTTACACCAATTTCTGGTAGACCTAGAGGAACCCTCAAGTTTTCATATAAATTTGGAAAGAAATATGGACAACCTTCAGAGCCAATGTTCAAAAATGCCAATCAACCTAATGGTATGTATAACGAAAACAAGCATGGTGATGTGCCCGTCACGGCTTATCCATATTCTCAAACAGGATCTAATAATGTTCCACCTGGCATGGGGTATGGAATGTCGAACATGGCGTATCAACAACCGGTAGGATATCCTCCTACTGGTTACAACGGTCAGCAACCAACAGGATATCCTCCTGCTGGTCAGAATGGTGGATATCCACCAGCTGGATATTCACCCTCTGGATATGGATATCCTCCTCAACAACAGCAACAAAGTTACGGAGGAGGATATCCACAGGTGCAACAAGTACAAAAGCCACAGAAAAAGAGCAATTTTGGAGGGATGGGAGCAGGAGTAGGATTGGGTTTGGCTGGAGGGTTGCTTGGTGGTATGTTGGTCGGTGAAATGGCTTCTGATGTTGGAGAGATGGATGCCTATGATCAAGGATATGATGATGCCATGGACGATATGGATTTTTAAATGAGATTTTTGTATTTTGACATTTTCTTTTGTTTATTGGATATAAATCAAATTGGTATTTGATTAACTACATTATCATCTTTTCATTGCATTATTTGATTTGATTTTGCAAAATTATTATATTTGATATGCATTTGGAATTTCTTTGTGATAAGACCAAACCTGTTGTTGTATGTGAAAGTAGACAAAACAAAAGAAAGAAAAATCAAAAAGAGATGAAAATATGATGTAAGCGCTTACATCGACATTCTTGTGATGTAAGCGCTTACATCAGCATTCTTATGATGTAAGCGCTTACATCAGCATTCTTATGATGTAAGCGCTTACCTCGGTAGAGCATTCAAATGCTTATAAATAGGGGTCTACATTTTCATTTGTAGAACATCCCAAAACTTCTTCTTTCTCTCTTCAATTAATAAAGAACTATTCTTTGTGTGACCGTGGAGTAGGCAAAAATTGCCGAACCACGTAAATCTTGTCTTGTCTTGTCTTGTGCAATTTATTGCTTTTCTCTCTTAAATATTCTTTTCTTTCTATTAGCTTGATACACTTCCCTACAACTGGTATCAGAGCACGGACAGTGTAATTCTGGTAGAAAAGTACAGTATTGGCGCATGTACTTGTCACACCTCCTTTTTCCGCCCCGCGAGGGGGCAAGAGAGTTTTTTCCAATTAAAGGACAATCGAAACGGGATTGGTTTGTTTATTTCAGAGTCGCCACTTGGGAGATTTAGGGTGTCCCAAGTCACCAATTTTTATCCCGAATCGAGGAAAAGAATGACTCTATATNGATGTGCACTCGAATTAAGGAAAATAAATTATTAAAGGCGCGCCTAAAGCAACTAGCGTCTTGTTATTTTGGG